ATCACATGCCAATGTGCATTGGCTCATTTAGTTTACACTCGAAGTAGATTGGTCTCTCTAAGCGAGATCCCAATTCGTTGGTCATCCAACGTGACGTCTCCATTCCCTCCTTTAGGGAAGGAGGGTTACCATACGTAACCGAGACGTTTTTTTTATCATGCACAATGTCATCCTGATATTTATAAGTGAATTTTTATGTTTTGTTTTGCAGCCAAAGCCATGTCCATGTCGGAGTGCTAAAAAGTGTTGAGAAACTTTCTTGGGAACCCAAAGATACATTTTTTTGTGTTTTTTGTACCAAATATTTATAATTCACATTCAATCATTCAGGTTCTCTGATGTTCATAACTTTTTATATGTGAGATTGTTTTTATTCATTTTACCGGTGAGCACTCTGAAAGTTAAACTTTCAGTTTTACAATTCTGACATAATTGACAAAGTTTTTTAATTTTGCATGACGTTTTTTTTTTTATCACCATGTAATCGTGACTTAAGGTACTTATTCTTTTGCAGTGTTGTGTATTATGTATAAAAAAAATATTAAATTTTATTTAGATTGTGAAATGCATTGCGTTTCATTTCAGCAAAACTGTCATCTTCATAGTATTGGATTAATCATTAAAAATTCATAATTTTCAAATGAAGACTGACAATAGAGCTCATGCTCTAAATAAAGTTTATATGCCAAAAAGTTATTACATATAAAGTTATTTCCTGTCTTATTAAAACATAATAGAGGTTCCAGATATACCATTATTCAATCTGTATAGACTTTTCATATCTGTTTGTACATGCAGTGCATGTTTCCCAGTATAACACTGACTTCCTTCAAAAAAATCATTTTGAAAAAAAGAGGAAAAAAAAATACACAGTAAGTTTTAAAGCTTTTTTGTTTTATAATCACAATCATAGAATTTTTACTCTTTATTTAAATTTTCACACACATAAGTGACATTGTCTGCACATTACTGTACCTCACTTTCTTGATAACTCTTCAATAGTTCAGTGAAAATTGTCATCTGCTCACCCTCATATTTATTTGAAATCATAAGGGCTGAGTAGACTGAGACCGTATCTTCATTTCTTGTATGAACTATGCCTTTAATTTGTAGAGAAGAAACAGTTCTCAACAAGACCAGGCAAGTCCAAATAACCTGACAACAGACATACTTACATTTAAAATTGAAAACCACAATTTTCCAATTTTAACGGAAATAAAAAATGTGCTCTCACTCTCAGTACCTTACTGGAACATTTTAGGAGATCAAAAAATGACAACAAAAGCAAAGCCATTTATGTGGATTTTACAAATGCCATTTTAAAAGTCTTTTCCTTGTGCTCCTTTTGAGTCTGTGTGCTGTTCCTGTTTCTTGAGCTCTGTGTTGGATGAAGGTGTTTTCTCGTCCTTGTGTGGTTCTGATGGTTGTTCAGGGGCCTTTTCTGAACTCTCTGACTTCTCGGGCACAGCAGCGCTCGCACTCTCAGCAGGTGGATCGGGCTTGAAGAGGAAGCACAGCAGTTCAACAACAAATCAACAACAGACTTGATCACGTGATGACGCTGCCGTGAGAGGTTTGGCACGACATGCAGCGGCACCATCTCAGTCTCTGTCCGGCGCGGGTGAAATAATTATAATGCTGAAGGTGAGGTACTCTCCTTCATATTTCTTCATTAAATAACTTATAAACTAATATGAACACTTTGTGTGAGACGCAATTTCACAAACAGCGTGTGTGAATCACCACGGGCGCGCTCTCACGCTTGTTTCACACATGCTCCGTCTGCAGTGCGTATGCGGTGCAGAAGCAGCACGGACTCATTGTGCTTTCACACAGGACGCATTTGCAGTCCGCTCCTGATCCGCAGCTGTTTACACAAACACAACATTTATCCATTATTTTGATTTCAAATCCAAACGTTGTTTATGAAAATGCTTTTTCAG